ATTGGGCAGAAAAACTGTAGTCGGATCCAGACTCGAAAAAGTAAAGTAAGTAAAGTCACTGAAGGTTTCCACTCCGATTTCGTTGAACCTCCATCGATTTTCATGAAAATTGGTAAGTAGTTAGAGGATACCTTAAGAAACAAAAGTGACATGGTGTCGACTTGCACTTTTACCCTGGGGGTGGATGCCACCCCTTCTCGGGGTGGAAATTATTTTATTAAAAATAATCCCAGGAATCGATAGAGGGACCAAATCTAAACAAATTTTATCTTATAAAGTTATTCAAATAAATCAATACTATTTGAGTGATTAAAGATCAAAGAGTTTTTCATAAATAACTCAAAAACTAGTAAAAAAAAACTAGTAAATTTAAAAACAATTGACATGTTTTTTTATACCGGGTCACTCAGAAATGGAATGCGATTCTGTCCATTCAAAAATTGAATCTAACTTAAAAAATTCCCCTGTATACACCCTTGAAGGATGGGCACAAATCATAAGACTTGCACGCACTAAGCCATGCCCGTTTGAAGTGACATAACTACTTCATGACGACTTTTTAGGTTTCAACTAAAGAAAGATGACATTTGCACTAGAAAATAAAATAAAACCAAAGAACAAGCAATATCAATATGAAAAAGAAAATGAAGTACAAGATGAAGAGCAAACAAGTAATGGAAATACTAATTTTAAATATAGTGATGGTATATGATACTTGCTCAAACTGATTATGCAGGGAAAGATCCAAGGAAAAAGAAGCATAGGGAGGCGTAGAATGTCACGGCTGCGCAACCTCAGAGAATGGTACGGATGTACACTTCATCTAATTTATATAACGATGCACGTCATCGGCGTCATAGCCTGTGACGTCATATGATACCAACACAAAATATTTAGGGTTTAGGTGTGTTCTTTTTAGAATCACTTTACCGAGTACACTGGCATTACAGCCACTAGACATATTTTATTATATACGCGTAGAAATAGTTAAAAATTTCCATTAATGTTAACTTAAATAAATACACAATAATATTTTTCATTTAATTTTTATAAATCCATTATAAAGAGTTTTTATCAAGAACATTTGTTCGGAACACACTATAACAGTAATTGAACGAAGGTAAAATTTTGGCATAAATTGGTAACACTTATTTGACAGTTGCTGTGTTGACACTTTTTGTACTTTATTATGTTGAATTTTAAAGTGAATACCTCCTGTTTCATATTTTTACCTAATTAATAAAATCTGTTCTTTTTAGAACAAAATTAGTGTGTTTTATTTCAAATATGTCACGTAAGAATTTAAATAGTTAAAATGGAGTCAGGATTTTTTTTATACTTTGGCAACTATGTCAACTTCGATCTCTGACGTATATAATGACGTAAGTCGTTATCTAAATTAGATGAAGTATACATCAAATGAACTTTTCAGAGCAGCCATCTCAAAAGTCCGAATAGCTATGATGAAGACTAGAATTGATGGAAACTTTTTATCTCTTGAAACCAAACAAAATAGTATAAACGTGTATGTGAACAAAACTTAATACCTAGGCCTTACCACCAATATTACCAATCTTTACCAACTTCTAGTACTGTCAGAGATTGTCTTTCAAAACCTGACGCAACTGAAGGCAACGATAACGTTTAATTCAAAATTTAAAACTTACTTAAATTTACCATTATTTTACAATAATTAAGGGTCATGACTGAGTACTTGAGGTACCTACAGTACGTGAAGTTCCATATTTAATGTTTTTTACGTTGCTAATTACATTAGTTTTTAAGCAATACATACTTTAATAAAAATATTTTTAACAATTTTTTTAAACATAATTTTCCCATTTTATCCTACAACTTTAATTTTTAATTATATGATTTGTAATAAACTTTGTAAGACCATTACAATTATATTAATTTTCCTCCTTTTCAATTAAGAATATAAATGTGTTAACATAAGACCAATATGAACTGACGAAAATGCCACATTCGCAATTTTGGTACCTACATTGTACCAAAACAAATTGTTGATTAACACAAAAAGCAAAGTATCGAATATGATTTTTTGGAAAGAAAAAAACAGTAAACAGTTTAATTTTCAATCTAACAAGGATTAAACATTATAAAAAATTTTTCATTTATCAAGGCGCTGATTTAGGATTCTCTAAAAAAGAGTTATCTTGCTCTCCTGAAAAGTACAACTTTTCACATTCCATAGTTGGAAATGGTAGGGACGATATGTTTTAGATTGTTATTGATATAGTTTTTATATCAAATACCCTGTGTAATTGCATCTGTATATTTCCATTCTATAAATTAGAAATAAACAAGAAGTGTATATGCATTATGATTCTTAATTTATTACTTACATGATCATTATATAGTCCGAAAACACCACTTCTAATAGTAGTCACCTTCATAAACACTCACATTCACAAATAAACGCATGATAACAAATGATGTAAAGAGCACACTCGAACTCGAGGCCCGTAGTTCTTTGTGGGATTCCCCGATTACTATTGGGTCAATAATCTGGTACAATGTTATCTCCTGTACTTTGAAGATTATCTAATTTTATTTTTGATTGAACACTGTTGGACTTCATATTAAGATAATTTTTAGGAAAGTAAATAATTTATTTAAGTATTTACTATTGCTGAAATAAACAACCGGCCACTCTGAAATATTTAATGAACAGATTTGCTTCTTCTTCAGAATGATTATTGGTTTCATTGATCAAAGTTTCAAAGTACTGATATTTTTTTACTTGTTTTCTGTGGCAGCCAGGCTGTCTAGAGCGCGGGGCCTTCAATGTCATATTTCGAAACATAATTGGCGATGTCAAACGAAAGAGGCGGCACTGTGCGGTAAAATTTTGAACTAGTGCACGTAGGATAACAAAACATTTTGTATTTAGTTATACACACATAACATAGTTATAAACATTTTAAGTATTATTAAATAAAGCACAATAAGGTAACAAAATGTTAAAAAGTAAATGTAAACAGTATCTATTGCTCTGCACCGCAATGCAGTAATTATCGATCGGAAGGAATAAGTATGCACTTTTTTCCCCGTGACAAAAATTTACAAGATCCTTGGGCACAGGAATTAAAAATTGGGAAATCGATATCAAGTGATATGATGGTGTGTTCAAACATTTTTTATCAACAGATTTTTTTTTTTCAAGTAAATTTGCTGAACACAATTGCAACATTTATTATATATAATGTGCCTACCTAACCTAACCAAATATATATATTAACATAGATCTTAATTAACTTTCAAAGAAAGGTGTTGTTCTCTCTCAATGCCTTCTTAAAGGAAAATACGAAAGAAAAATTAATGAGGAACTGGTGAATGCTAGACTAATGCGTAATAAATCACACGCACATTCCTCACTGGCGAGCTTTACAAGTGCATTTTACCACCCACTCGTCTCTTAACACATCCACAGTGATTTCATGTGGGGCACCATCAGTGTGACCATATATTTTTTAGAGAATCTACCAACAATCAGGTTGAAAATCTACTAAAAACTACCAAATGGTACTACGCATGCGCCTTTGCAAAAAAAATGGTTTATGCTTTAAATATGTGACGTAAGAACCAATAGTATCGCCTTCTATTATAAATATGCGGTTTAAATGTTAAAATGTATACTAACGAAAGAATGAAGATGAAACTGTTTATGGTATGGCAATCACAGAAAAAGACCTTAAATAATTAGGTGGTACTGGTATTATTCCAAACATCCATAATTCAAATTTTATGGGACCAAAGGCGACTTACATCAGATCAGAATTTAATATAGGTCATAATATTTACCATATATACATAAAATTTTAAGAGTGGTTGAATGATTTATGGTTACCAATACGTGCCGATACCCAATGATTCAATGATGTTATGGTTTAGGTATCAAATTACAATTACGAATTTCTGGGATTTCTCATTCTTTGCATTTAATTTTTAAACAATACAGGTACAATACAAGTATCAAATAAATTTTAATACAAACGTATTAAAAATAATATCAAAATTTTTGTGATGATAACAAATTTAAACAGTAGATTTTCGAATAGAAAAAGAAGTAGAAATTATAATTAACTAAATTATAGTAAAAACTACTAGATTCTACCAAAGAGTTTTTCCCTACTAGAAATTGTAAATTTACGTCAAAAATCTACCAAAAAGGTAGTTTTCTACTAAATATGGTCACACTGGGCACCATTTAAACTAGTCGTTTGCAGACACAAACCGACTAATTTGTTATTATATTTGCCACACAACAGTACTTGGCCAGCCTTTAACAAGGCCTCGCCTTCTTTTAAAGGTCTTTTTGTGTCTCTTATATATTTCAAAATATGGAGCAGACTAACTTCAATTTCTTTATTTGCCATTGCGTTAACAAAAAAATAAATGGAAGACAATAAATACGGATAATTTACCTACAAAGATTATGGTAGCTCTGTTTTGTTTTTCTACGTGCGTGATCAGATGATCATCTGTCAAAGCGCCCCCTATAGTTCGTTGACATCGCCAATATAGTATTGCCACAGAATAATAAACAATCAGAAGGGCCACTCTCAGATGCCGCCTTTGAAGTTTTTCAGCACGCGCGCCCTGTTTTAGGAGGACACAGACATATGATTTGTGTGGTTATGTAATCGTTTATATTTATGTTTAATTATATTATATTTATGTTATTATATTTAACAATGTTAATATAATTGTATAGTATGTCTATGATTGCCGTAAGTCAAATAAACCTGGTTAATTTTTCCATGCACACCACATAAACAATCACTAATTTCTTTAAAATCCTCCTAAAACATGGCGGAACGTCTGCGCGGAGGAGATGCGCGTACTTAATTTTCCGTGGAGAGTGGGTATTCTGTTTGTTTATTATTCTGTGGTATTGCTCTGCTTCATTTTAGTTGTATTGTCTATAATGCAGTTGGTGGTGTCCCAAATAGATCAATATTTTGTTATACTTTTAGGATTCAGGTCCACTTAATGACTCCCTATGGATAGCGGAGAATAACGGTTTGGATTATGGCTCGGGAATGGCTTATTCATTTTTCCATGGATATTTAAATTTAGTTTTGCCAAAGACGGGTACACAAGACAAGCATTTAAAAGAAATAATGGAAGATTACGAAGATATTAACGGCATAAAGTTTGCTGTTCATAAACTATTTGTACTGATACCGAAATCGATGAAATGTTTCGTTAGTTTGAAAAACGAATATTCGCCTTCAATGGATGAAAGTAGGGTAAGTGTGGCTAATATAAAAATACACCAAGATAAGAACATATCTTAGTAGCCATGGTACAATGAATACAAGGTATGATATTGCGCATGACATTTGACTTTGACAGCTCGCTCAGGAGTGTTACGTAGTTAAGAACGCTCAAACCCATTACATTAAGGCTGTTTTCGCAGTTATAGCATACTGCGATTTGAAGTGGGCGTATCACTTACTTTTCTACACTGCTATGTCAGACCCTACGTGACTTCCTAATAGTTTGGATGTTTATTCAGTGGCGCCGGCCCACGGGTTGTTTAAAATAAATGCATTATTCTCCATTCAAATTAGTTTTGTCGGAATACTTTTTTTTAGATTAATTATCGTAGATAATGTTTTAAAAAGAATTAATCACATTTTTAATTTAAATGTCTTAGCTAAACATAGTATTAAATAAAAATTTGTGAAACGTGAATGCAAAAAACACCATGGTGTTTATTTATAATAAATTTAAATTTTGTTATATTAATATTAATATATAATTAATATTTTGTTAATATTTGTTAGAGAAAACTGATATTAGCGTAGTAAAAATTAAACAAAAAATATTTTTATTTATCTATAAAAAATTGGTACCTGCGAAACCATCATAATAGTAAATGTATTTATCTGGCAAGTATTTCGAGGCGACGCACTGCGAGGAAAATGTTCTCTGAATGGAATATACATTTTTTAATATATTTATAGGTTGCAGTTACATAAGAAAAGTATCCAATTGATGAATAAAACACAAATCGTGGATAGTTATTTCATCATATCAGTGGCATTACAGCTCGTCATGAGCCAAAGGCTTCTTCAGAACAATCTTCCATTTGCCCCTGCCTTTGGCAACTTTCTCCATGCTTTAACTCCGATGGATTTTAGATCATCCTCTATGTTATCTTGATACCTAAGTTTTGGTCTTCCTCTAGATCGTCTTCCCACTGGTCCTCTTCGATCGAAAATTTTTCTGATCGTTTCATCTTCATCTCGCCTAATTACATGTCCTATCCATCAAAGGCGTACTAATTTAATAAATTTTACAACGTCAGGTACTACACCTGAAGAAGCATCGTAGTTTACTTTATACGATCTTTTTGACCAAGCACCATCAGCTATAACGGTTATTAACCCATTTCCGTCGGAATCTACTTCACCAATTTCTTTGGCTAAAGTTAATTCCTCCCGTCCAGCCTCTTCTAAGGAATCACAAAGTGTTTGGCCGATGATATCTGCAACTGTTTCCGTATGTTTTGCATACTGCCTGTAGGAAATCACAGGTATATTTAATGCAGCGTGCTGCTGCTGTATGTCTGAATAACCAGAACCATTCAAGTTCAGTGAATTGTTACCAGAATCCTATGTTGCTATCTCCTTTTCAATATTCCACATTTGACATTTAAAAGTCAATGTACTTATCAATCCGTCCATTTTTTCTTTGATAATCTCCATATTAGAAAAGTCTCCATGAAAATGGAGAGTGATTATTCAAACCTTGAATAGATATATATGTATATATATATATATATATATATATATATATATATATATATATATATATATATATATATATGTATATATCTATTCAAGGTTTGAATAATCATTCTCCATTTTCATGCAACTTCTCCATATTAGAAAAGTTGCATGAAAATGGAGAATGATTATTCAAACCTTGAATAGATATATATATATATATATATATATATATATATATATATATATACTTCTAGCGGTTAATGTAGGCTCCGTCCTAAAACGGTATTATACTAACTCCAGTAGAATATACACCGTGTATATTATTATCTAAGTAGCGCATTATGTAAACTCCGACCAACATGTAGGATCAAGTGGACTCCGTAACTGGATAAAATATTTTTGGGATCCGTATATAGTTTTTAGCGTACACAACTACGCCCCTGCGATGTTGTCAATAATTGTATTAGTCGTAGATTTTCAAATTTTATAGCAGGTACATTTTGGGAACTTAAAATTTATTTAAATATCCACCAGTTTAGTTATCGAGGAATTTCAGGAATATTTGCCTAATGTATTTAAATATGTTATAATATAAATTGTTAACATTATAATAATTTTATTTTATTTTTATGTATAATAAGCACGGTGATAATTTATATTACTTGCTCTAATTATTTTCAATCTTAAGTAAGTGTCTATTATAAACTTATTAATGCTAATAAAGCATTATTCTATAGCATTTTAATATTTTAGCTATTGATTAAATTCGAATAGCGGTTTGATATCCCTTCACTTTCTTGAAAAAGTTATATTCTAACACACAAGATCTTATTAAATTGCCAAAACTTTCCTTTCATATTCCATTCACTTATAAGGGGCAGCACTAACATCAGTACGATGCTACGCATACAATGCGTAGCTATAATCCTGGGCTGGCTAATAGAAAGCATGAGTGTAGCAGTTTTATTGGTTTCGGAACTGCTACCTGGGTTGGGGAAGCAGGATATCAGCATTAAGTTAATGCATATAGAAATTGTTGCTTGACCGGCAAAATATCAAATACCAGAGAGCACGACGGTAGCAGTCTGAGAAAGCGAAGCAAAACAACTTTATTATTATTAGACAATATCATATTTCCTAATAAAATAATATTGACTTTACAACGAGACAAATTTTCTACTGTTGGACATCGAAACATGCAAATACATAGCAACGGGTTTTCTACGTCGGTATCCCGAAAAATTGTTGTAATAATAATACGGGAAACAAAAAACTTAAGATGGAAATGGGCGCCAAAAAATCTGTGTTAATAAACAGTAGAATAAAATATAGATTCTCAATTCAAATAGTCAAAAAATTAAAGAACAGCTTAATAAGATAGAAATAGCACCTATTTACGATGAAATCCAATAACGGCCCAAGGTACAAAACAGCTCCTAGTTATGCTGATGGTTAGATCTAGAGCATAAATTTAACAATAGAACCATATAATTTTAAAAGATTGGAGCAATTTAGATATCGCTGATAACGTTGTCGCATAAAAGATAAAAGGGAAAATGCATGTAGCAAACCATAGACATAATATAATACAAATAGACTGACAGCTGCCATACAGTCGCGTTTCCGCAATACGACAGAGAAAACTGAAGAAAAGCAATCCCTGCATATTTTTCTAATGGGACGGGGTTATTGACCACGTGACCTTCTCATTGGTCATAGGTCACGCGTTCGATAAACCTGACAAATTAAAAAGAGATGCAGGGACTTTCGTCAGTTTTATCTGTTGCACTGGGGGAACGGATCTGTATTGCAACAGTTAGTCTATTTGTATTGTATGTCTATGTATCAAACTGATATCACTATTAAATCTACAAAAAGAAAAAATTGCAATATAAACAAAATTTGTTTAACACGCGTCTAGAAAAGAACTAAAAAAAAGAATTTGGAGATAGAAACGTCAACTACATGTGTAGTATAAAAATCAAATTTATTCTTTTAACCAAAATGTTCACACCAAGTTTGATTGTATTAAAATATTCGGTAGCTCCAACTACCTGTACTCTATAGTATTCAGTAATCCATCTCAATATGTCCAACTTTATTTTTTTTAAATTTTTTTGGATAGAATACAAGAAATATGACACAATATTTATTAATACATATTTTATTGGGCGTTTCGATGTTCAAATATGAGTTCGTTCTCAAAAATGTACAATATTATTTTTACAAGGTATTGCGTAGATACGTACAAGATGTTATTTATGTTTTTACTTTATCTGGCTTGTTAAATTATAATCAATTAGTTTTCGGTTATTTCGCACTCTGTATTAATTAGTAATATTATCCCTAACATGTTCATATATTTCTCTACTAATATTCTTCTTTCTGCGACGTTCAATCGGCTGTTATTTTGTTTTTACGTCGTCCATGTTTCATGTACATATGTATGTTATTATAGGTCTTACGACTGCATGGTAAATTCTTAATTTTGGTATTGCATGGTATATTTTTGGATTTAATTTTTTGCTTAAAAAGGAGCGATTGCCATTATATATTCTGTTGTTAATGTCGTTTGTGATGTTTTTATTAACAGTGATTTTAGCTCACACATATTTAGACCGATGAACCATTTTAAAGTTGTACTGGTCTATTAAAATAGTATGTCTTATCATGTTTCTCTTCTTGTGATAGCCCTATATTTTTTTATTTTCGTTTATATATAAAGATCCATATTTTCCGCTTTTTCGTATTGAATTTGTAAAGTTTTTGTTGTTACTTTTGCAGCTACATATGTATATATATATATATAAGCATTATTTAAATATTATTAAACTTTTTGTTAGTTTTGATTCTCCTCGTATAATTAGCCCAGTAACAGAGAGTCATTTCATCCAATAAGGGTCGAAGCTGTTCGGTCATTAAAGGCAATCATTCCATCCAGTAGGGATGAAGGCTGCTCAGTCATCAAAGACAGTCGTTCTATCCAGTAGATATGGTGGCTGCTCAGTTATCGAAGAAATGAGTTCCTTTGCGCTATATTTAATTTTTTTGTGGTTTCTGTGTGCCAAAGGGGTAAAGTACAATCTACATATTTGTTGCAAAAATTACTTTGCTGGTATATTGAGTACCGTTTAAATAATAATATGAATTTTGTTACGAATTTGTCTTATATGCTGTAATAAATCTTTTTCCGCGAATTGGAAAACATGTTTTAACCTTTATTTGAAACATTTATCGTTAACGTTTAGTTGACCATTTTACGTTTATCTAAATAAGTATTTATTATATTGTGTAATACCTAGCTGTAGTTTCATTTTATTATTGTATCTATATGGGTATATATAATATTATTTTGTATATTTATAAATATCCAAAATCATCCTATTTGCGTTACATTGATATTTATGTGGTAATTAGCTAAGTCATTAGTCTTTCCAGCCGTATCATATTTTCCTCGATTTTTTTTTGTAGACAAGCGGTTTAGTTTGTTTAAAATAATATCCCCGATTCGA